TGTTTCTAGTCCAAACATCTAAAAATTTCTAAATTAAGAAGAATTTTCTAGACAAGAAAAACAAATTGTCTTGTTTTCAGAAATAATATGCCAATATTAAGTGAGTTTTTCCTTAACACAAGTTAAAAAATCTGCCAATGGAGTAAGCAAAATAATCTTACGTCAAAAGAAAAAAACAAGATTAATTTGCTTACCCCATTGGCAGATTATTTTGCTTGTTTTAAGGAAAAACTCCCTTAATATTGGCATATTATTTCACAAAACAAGATAATATGCTTTGCTCGTCTAGAAAATGCTTCTTGATATAAGAAATTTTAGATATTTAGACTAGAAACAAGACAAAAAATCTAAGCAAGAAAAGCATTTTTTGCAGTGTTGCAATCGTAGCAGAAGCAGCAAACACATCAAAATAGCTGTATTTAATACCTTACTAAATCTGTACAAGAGTTGTCATGTCAAAACTAATAAATTCTAAATTTAGCAAATACATTTTAGTATTGAACATTGTTGTGATGCCTGAACGCGGCTTTTGTTTTATTTGTTTCTATTTTATTCATCAATTTAGACAAACATATTTAAACAATCACATTTTAAATATATACTGCAAGCATGAAAGTTGTAATCATATATTTTTCCAAACATTTCTTACTTTCAAGATGAAAATGCAGCATAAACTCTGAAATTATTTTTGGTGTGTTTGTTTTTCCATTTAATTTAACTATACCTAAACTATTACGGCTCAGAACAATGTTCTGTGTCTGTTATGTTAACGTTGGGTGACAAGTAACCATTAATAAGCCGGAAAAAGTACACCCAGTCAGTTGTTTTTTGCAGAATAAAGCCCATTATTCAGTCTTACAGAACAGCCTTCTGCTTCCCATCGGGCTGCTGATAAACCTGTTAGGCTTTATTCTGTAATAACAATCGCCTGGATGTACTTTATCCCTTACATAATACACAGTGCGCACAGTGCTTAAATGTATCACGCATTTGGATGGGTAAAATTTAGAACCCAAATTCGGAGCATGGGACAACATGCTGTACTTGGGCACATGGCATAACATTCCTACTATTATATGTGTATTATATGTATACTAACTTAAATGCAGACAACTTGCACTCTTTAAATTTCTACTGAAACTGTGCCAATTCAGTCAAAAGCTCTATTCATTTTACTCAATTACTCAATTTAGCTCTAGACAGGCCCGTGCAGAGACTGTCCAAAGGACATGTGCAGGATAATTTTTTTGAAGACCGGGTGGGGGGGGAGTGTTGCGGGGGCACTTTTGATCATTTTGGAAGGGCACTTTCTATCCAAGACTAAAAAGGGCATGTGCACTGCACAGGTTGAGCCCTATGTGTGCACGTGCCTAGCTCTAGATGTTAGTTTACTTATGACATGGTATACATGCATACAGTATATACTTCAACATTGCTTAAATATACCTCAGTAAATGAACTTAACATTTTAGCTGTTCTTCAGCCTATTGTGTTTAAAAATGTTCTTGAATAAATGGATGCACCTTCCTCTATTCACAGATGTACTCTTTTTGTCAAAGGCCAGTTGCGTGGCAACATGTGTTCCTTCTAATTTCCTTAATTGGGTTTTAAAATTGGCTGGTTGGCCATAGCAACCATTTTGTAATTTAATATTCTCCTGTTGCACATGCAGAATGAATGTTCAGATAGAAAGAGGCAATGCACTTTTCCTTCCCTGTTTGGAATTTATACATTCAATCCTCAATCTTTGGTTGTTTAAAAAGTGTAGAAATTATGAATTAGGTTGATCAGCCCATTAATAAGTATGTTAATGAAAATACAAAGTATATTAATCATGACCTAATATTGCAATATTATAACAGAAAGATAATTAAAAATAAAAAAAACTACAACTCTGCAGAAAGTGTTGTGTAGTCCTATAGAAAAATGTGTGCTTGTGTGTGATACATGCATCTTAACACCTTCCCCTCACACAGTGAATAGCACTGCTCAGTGTGCCTCACCATACACTGTACACGAACATCACAGCTAATGTCTGTTGTTTTATTTCCACTATGTTCATCAGACAAGCCAGACTCATCCAGCGAACACTAATAAATATTGCATTTGCAGTCTTTGATATTAGTCAAAGGTGTTTATGAAAGGGATAAAGTACATCAATGCGTTTGTTATCGCAGAATAAGGCTAATTAAGACTTATCAGCAGGACAATGTGAAGCTGTTGTATAAGACTGAATGGCTTTATTATGAAAAAACAACCACCTAGATTAGAAGTACTTCATCCTGTTTGTTACACGGCTGCTTGCCGCAGTCATAAATTAAATAAATAAAAGCACATAAGAAGCAGCGAGGAATAATCAGATGCTCAAGACATAATCTTTAAAATAATGACATATTTAAAAATTTGAAAGTATATGAGAGGTTTGTGATACAACAATCACAGTGAAGCATTCATTGAATCCTTCCACAGAGCAAAACAATTCATCACCACACAGTTGAATAATGAATGGGCACAAACAAAAATATAATTTGTATATTTTTCATGGAAAAAAAAAATCTTTTTGAGACAAATTTAATTTGCTATAATTTTTATCTTAATTTGAATTATCTATAAACAAGAATAATAAATGGCATTTAAGGTGAAGCACTTCAAAACAAGTCCGCTATATGCACCGGAATCCACATTGTCTTGAGGTTGTGTTGGTTTGTTAAATAAAATAACAATCTAGCATACATAAAATTTAAGTGAAATATTCACAGTTTCATAGAAGCATATAAACTGTTTTAACTTTTAATGACAAATTTGAATAAGCAGGAAATGCTTCTACAATGTATTCGCAGCACTAAACATGTTCCCAGATTACCTCAGAAGAACAAACTCTGTTGGATGGATGAGAGAACTCTGAAACCGAATCATTGTGAGAATGGAGATGTCTGCATATTTGTACCAGTCTGTCAGATACAATTGCTTAAAACACCTTAATATTTTAGAAAAAGTTAGTTAAAGTTTACATAACCAATGATTGATCTTATCCACCTGCGACCCACCTTTAAGTAAATTAGCAGCCTGTTTTTTGATTATCTAACCAGCGGATAAATGGCAGCAACCTATTGCGCAGTGCTACCCATGTGATAGAACTCGTCGTGAAGGATGAGAAAGAAATCCTCCTGAAATCATGACAAATTTGTGTGATCTGACTGGGGCTTTAGTTGCCATTTCCACTAGGTGTCATGTTTATGTTCTAGGTGTGTAACTTTTAAAAATCTGATTACTATTGAATTCTTCTTTCAAATGTAGATGAGAGGTTATCAATATGTTAATTAACCTCACCCTGATTGTGGTAATTTGCATAAGGTCACAGCTTATTTGCATGAAAAGGAACTTTTTTTCATTGAGTTTTGTTCAGATGCACTTACTTTTGCTATTGCAAATCATTAACATTCAGAGACCTTTAGTCACTCTTTTAATTTCCCATAGAGACATCATTTTGAACACAATTAGCAAGATTTTCATACACGTTGTTTCCATCAAAAATTATATATATATATATATATAAAAAAAAAATAAAAAAAATAATTAAAAAATAAATAAATAAAATAATATATATATATATATATATATATATATATATATATATATATATATATATATATATATATATATATATATATATATATATTTCAGTACTGAGTAAAAAATTCCCCACCACCCACGTGAAGTGGCTTAAAGTGGTGCTATGATGCATGTTACCGAAAGGTCCTTGAGTTGAAGAATATGAATGAAGATCACCTGTCTTTAAATGTGTCAGTCAAAGCTCAATCCTTTCATCATCTCTCTGAACTTATTCTTTAGCTGCAGATGAGAGGCCAGTGTGAATGTAGAAGGTTACTAGAAGAGAAAAAGAAAAATTGTTCTGGTTACACTGACAGCAAAAACACAATGCCAGTGACATCAATGATGTTGGGCTTTGAATGAGTTTGAAAATAAGAGTTGAGTGTGAG